TGTCTATATCTCGTAGGCATTAGGCATTATCAATCTTCTAACTGCATGTAGTATAACAAGTTTGCATCAGTCATAATGCTGTGGCTATTCATTCACAAGTCTGTAAACTATAAAAATCAAATTACAGACTACTGATAAGTCAACTGCTTTGAATTAAAATGATTATGAAATACACCTGGTCTTTTATTCAGTTGTTGTGATTTTACCAAGGAAATGCATAAAATACAACTGTACACATGTTGAGGAAGAATTTTTTGAAAAGATATCTTCTCTGAGCATTTGAACTTTCTTTTAGTGCTAAATAGGTGTATTTGCATGGAATGGGAAGGGGGTAGGGGAAAGTGCGAAGGAGCTAATAAAATTTCTAGATTTCTAGAGAATTTCAAATTGGAGAAGACAGATTTAGAGTATAACATCGTATTTACAGATATCCAAATTAAGTTGAAATTTGACGGCTTGCAGAAGAACTTTCATCAATTTGTCATTCATTAGCATGGATATTATGAATTCCGACATGCCATTACTACTCTGATAAGATTATTGGTACTAAAATACAAAACAGTAGTGAAAACAAACTATTTTTGTTTTGGTTGTCAGCCTAGTAATCATACATCTGAATGATATGATTTTTCCAATTCATTTCTAACGCTAACCTTGCACATGATTAATCTCGTATACACTTGTGAAGTCTCGTCCGTTCAGTTTACTCACGTGATGAGTCACACGATTTGACTCTTGCAATCTCACACAATGGAACACAGAGTCTACTTTGATGTTTCTATATACATGAGTGGATTTCCTGTCCAAAACTCACCATCATTTCTAAAAATGAGACAACCAGTTTGACACAGGGAGTGCTATAATACACAACTGATTCTACTCAACGGAACTGGGTCATACAGAAATGAGAGAGGATTTAATCGAAAGTTCTTGAGCACAGCTGTACCGTAATATTATCAAATAAACCTTTTATCAGTGGTGATGACTATAGGGACGCCAAAGTTGAATATTCAGTTACTCCATGGTGCCTTGGCAATGGTTTGTGCTTGGTAGCAACAGACCAGTGAATACTTCTGTGTATTTAAGAAAATAATTGAAACTGTTGGAAGGAGACAGTGATTTGACTATAACTACGTGCTTGAGTGCAAATCTGATTGTAGGAGTAGGTAACTTACTAAGTGAAGCGTTGATGCAATGACGAATGTTCTCTCTCTGATAGGTTAAAAGAGTCTGCGTTCACTGTTTTACCTCACGATCAATGTTTAGCCACAAAAATCTCTCTTTAGTCAAATTAATGGTAGCGTTGTTTCTAGGGTTTGACAGATTATGCATTTTATCTAACGCAGTGCATCTCATAGCTTTAGAGAGAAATAAGAGAAGTTTCCTTGTTGATGTGCAGCCTGCCACTCAGAAAGTGCTGAATTGAGTTTCCGATAAAACTAAGGAATTGGTTTTATTGACACAGATTCTGCAATTGAGAATCATCTGATATAAGCTCGAAAAGACGTTGTTAATTAATATTCTAACACAGAATTTTACTAACATGTGTGCATAATAAGACATAGGTAACTATGGTACTGTAAATTATGGCGTCGAATATCAGAAGTTAACTGTGATAGGAATTCTACTTGCCGTATCCCACGTGGGGAGCTATAATCTTGCATGACTGATAAGGCTTTATTCAGAGTATGGTGGTCTGTGAAAACTGAAAAAACTGTGTTTTTAAGTATGTATGGAATGCTTAACAGCTAAATAGACAGGTAGCAACTTTCTACCGAATGCGCTGTGACGGCCTTTTTGCTAGATTCAAGCGTTTTGAAAAGAATGCTAACGGCTGCCGCTTACCATTTACCTCTTGCTGTAAAACTGTTCTAACGGGGATACTGCTGGTATCTGTCATAAGCAATGATGAAGCTGTGATGTCTACCCTGAAGAGAATTATTGTAGCAGTAGGCAGCTGCTCAACTTTTGCAAAACGTCTACGTAGGTCTCACAAATAGATCAAAAGAGCAGAAAAGTCCTTATTAACAATTAGTTAGTGGTTATAAAATGGTAGCACAGTGACAATGGAAATTGACAAGCCAAAGAAAGCAGCGCAATTTTTTGAATGAGTTGGACATTGGGTGGTGCTTTATGGCTAACACTTCCTCTGGAACCGGTTTAATACTTTTAATGCTTCATTAAATAATGCACGAACTTCGATGATCTAAATAAGCAACAGGTAAATCATTGTTGTAAACATACACAAAATGTAGCCCAATGAAGACCTAATCAGTGAAACTTTGAAATGCTTGAACAGCATTTATGAGTCTCAAAGAAGTTTGAATGGATTAATGTAACACAAAATGAGTAGTAATGGTCGTTTTCTGGACATTATCGGAATTAGTGACAGTATGGTGAAATTGTGGATATGAGATAGTGAATATCTGCATGGGATCGTCTATTTGTTAGGAACCCGCTAATCGTCACATGGGTTAACCTCAGCTGAAGACTTCTTCGGAGCCAAATAGAATAGTGGAGATTATGCAATGCTAGGGTATTAAACGATACCAAGTTAGAGCATTTCGCCGAATTCTGCACTTATAATACTAAGTCTCTGTAGATCAAAGCCTCTACGTCATACGCTAATTGGTGGTTCATTTGTTTTGAAGTGATGCACGTCGTTGTGTTTCTGATCTGTCTGACGATAGCCAAGTTAAAGTAGATTATGAAATACGTGTGGCAACTCGACTATGGAGGGGTGGTTGTAAAAGTAGCTACTAAACTTGTGGATTCTGATTCAGAAATTGTAGGAACAATGCGGGCTATAATGTTATTATTATTTCACATCTACTGCGAATTCGCAGTGTCGTAGATAGTCATTTTCATTGATAGGTTGTGGCATGTCTGCCAATAAAAATGACAAATTGTAGACGAGGCCGAAATCCAGCGTCTCGTTATCTCATCTATAAGTAACAATAGTGGACTTATAAGTGACCTGAAGTAACCCATTCGAGTTGAGAAACAGATGTTCACAGTCATTAGAAGGAAGAACACTCACTTTAGTGCCTGTGTCTGCAAAAACTTGTACTAGTATTCCTGTCTGTTAAGTAGAACAAATAACCATTGGGTTTCTGATTGCTGACTACAGCCGGTTCCTTTCCTGAAGAGATATTGTCTGGAGTCTTAAAACTGTTTGGTAGCAAGCAAAGACGTGCATGATTAACAGATTTTTTCTGATACAAGCAGATGTTTACAGGATCTCTGGATAGACCAGGTATCTATGATCTGTGTCGACATGATCACTTACTTGAACGGTTGAAATTGTGCTTCGTTGAGTTTTACTATTTATCCCACCAAGAGTTTTACTTCCTCTTCCAGTGCTTGTAGTTCTGCCTGATGGTGACTGACTTGCGTAGTGGAGGCAATGTTTCAGGCCATTCATCTTTCTTGAATGCAGTTAGCCACCACTGTAAGTTTTATCGTCACTGAATGTGGACATGTGAAAATAGTAAGTACGTCCAAAGTAAAAAATATGTATGCAAGACGGAGATATGAATACATTACTCAATAGAAGAAACGGTAGGTATGAGTGAAATAACAGTTTGTGGAAGTTCGGTCCAACATAACTGATATATCTCTGAAGTAGGTTTAATGTTCCATATCAGTTATAACACAAATATTTCGAGGTTTATTTCTTAAGTGACAGGCTTAACAGTTTTATGAACCCATCAGTGCAACTGTATTTATTCTGAGTAAATTCCAATGCGGATACGGATCTATAGGTGTATATCAATTCAGTCTGACCAGGACGTAGAACTTCCTGTTCTGAATTATTCTAAACGACAGACACCAACGTAACCTATAACCAGAACAAGGAAACCAAAGGACAGCACATGATTAAAGATGTAATGAATTGCTGCAATCTAATATTGGCATATATGATATTTACGCAAACATTTGAACAGAGTTGCGGGGAGTAGACAACAAGTATCCCTGAATAAGAAGGAAGGAAAAAATTTCATGTGAAACTGCTGAATTATGTAATTTCACCAGTGTGCAATTCACTTTTTGATATAATTATGTTGTTATTTTCTCCAGCTCTGTTTAGGAATAAGCCATATTTAGCACCTAGCACTTGACCATAAAACTTGTTATAGAAGAATGAGAATCAAGTCCCACTTTTCGTTTTGAGTATATAGTAAGAATGAGACTTCATTTTAATGATGGTGGAAATCTCTGAAAGTGATGACTTATCCCTTATGATAAGAAGGTATTATCTACCTAACTTAATCTATCGGTGTATTCATCAGCAGGCAAATTGCTAAGAGAACATGTTGAAACTGAAATTGTGATTTCTCGTTCATTTTTGTTATACTAGTGGTTGACTATGGTACTCTAAGCATAATTTCAAGAAAATTGTTTCTCCATCATGTTTTCAAGATTTGTGGTGTAAACATTTCTGTTAACAGTATGCTTGGACAGTTCAGTTGTTGGCAGTACTTAGAAAAGAGTAACTTTAGTTCCCACCTTATAGGTTTCATAGATTACAAGGCTTAGCTGATTTTGATGCTAAATTAGTGTCATAATATAACTGGATAATTTCTGTTAAAGTTTAATTGCGAATTTTTCAAATAATTACGTGTACCTATAGTCATGGTACGCAAGCTTCATATCCCAAACTCCTGTTAGCTTTGCCTCTTTTTAGAAGCAAATATCTCAAGCTTAGTGTATGTTAACAAGTCATCAACTGGCGACCAAACTTTCAATCACCAATCAAATGCTTGTACATTGGCCCAGATAAATTTAGGCCATGATGTCAGCCAATCAACTTTTCTTCAGACAAATATAAGCTAACTACATTTGTTTAAGGTCATGGTTATAGACTTTTCAGTATATTTTTATGTAGGTGGAAATTACGTATGAACAGAAGGTTTTAACATCATATTAGTTTTCAGTAAAGGACTGTTTAAAGCATAATTATCATGGTTTTATTTCACACTTAGTATGTATGAGGAAAAATGTCTGTACAAGGTGTATCTAACTCACATACTTCACCGTGTTCTGTATTGAACCGATCAAGAAAATCATCTAGACCAGCCAACTACGATATCAAAATTAATGTGGATGAAATTCTCGTTAAGTATGTTGGAGAGTGTGGAGTTTGGCAGTGGGGTATTGTTTTGTTATTAGTTTTAAGTTCTCCGTCAATGGCAACGCTTCCAGTATTTGTGAATGCAGTCCCACATCACCGTTGCAGGATGGAAAACTCTGTGGAAAAGTTGTTCAAATATTATAACCTCAGTTTCGGTGAAGCAGCTGCACTCACTGGTCCGTGGGAAGATGAAGTTCCTGTAACACATATGGGTTGTTCGCGGTTCGCTCTCGACTGGAGTAACACGAGCTTTGTTGAGAACCTACTCTTGAATAAGTCAGCAACTTCGCTCAATAATCGTGAGTCCTTACAGACTGAAGAATGCATTCATGGATACGTTTATGCAAGTAAAATGTTTCAGTATCCCAGTACTGTAGTAGAGGAATTTAACCTAGTATGCGAAAGTAGCATTCTATCACCTCTTGGAATCTCACTTTTCCTGGTAGGAATGTTGTTTGGATTTATTCTCGGAGGTTTTATTGGTGATAAGTTTGGCAGGCGACGCGGAGCAATAGGTTTTTCGCTTATTGAAGTTCTTGCAGCGATAGGTGTTTCTTTGGCGCCAAATCATCATGTATATCATCTAATGAGGACAATTGTTGGATTTTCGAGTACAGGTAAAGCTGTCGTTGTACGAGTCTTACCAATGGAGTTAACTATTGCCAAATACCGATCCTACTTCACATCATTCAATATTTTAGGAGTTGTATTTGCTCACCGAGCTGCAATGTCTGGTATCGCTTATATGGTCCAGGATTGGCGTCTTTTAAATGCTTTATCAATGTTACCATGTCTTGCATGTTTCACCTTCTTCTGTCTTCTACCTGAATCACCAAGATGGCTCTTATCACAGTGTCGTGTAGAAGAAGCTGTCAAGGTACTGAGGAATGGTTGTCGCATCAATCACATATTTAAAAAAGACAGTTCAAAGTTATCTTATTTTGACCATTTACTCAACGATGTATCAAAGACAAATGTTTACAAGAGAAAACTATCTGTTCCCCGTGAACCTATAAATTTTTCTAAACGATGTATTATTTTTTTTAAATCATTCAAGAAAACTTTTTTCAATGCTCAACAGGGTAAAACTCTTTCAATATGTGTTCTATTATTTATTTCACATTCTCTTGGATTTCTTGGTGTTACACTATATAGTAAGTATATTAATGATAATATTTATATTGTAACCCTTATAAATGCATCAACTGCTATCCCTGGACCAATTATTGCAAGTATCACCTATAGATGTTTTAAGTATCGACGTATCCCATTGATAACCATCTATGTCATTTCTGGTTTATCAATGTTTATTGGTGGAATCTATACCTTATTATGGAAACCAGTAACTGATATTGTATTGAATGTATGCTGTAATCTTGCTCTTGTTATGTATTCTGCTTCAATGATTATGATATTAATTTACTCTGCTGAACTATTTCCATCCTATATGAGAACACGTGGTGTAGGCATATCATCTGGTTTAGGTAGAATTGGTGGAATAATTTCAACATTTGTAAACTATACAGATTCTTATCTTGGACATGGTATCCCTGTATTGATTTATTCAGGTTCAGCAATATTTCAAGCTATTCTATTATGTTTTTTACGTGATACAAATGGTGAAGATCTACCTGATGTTGAAGTAAGCATAGATTCGAAAACTTCTAGTAATATTCAAGGTACAACTAAGAAATCTGATGGGGATGGAGAAGAGGGTGAAGAAAATATAACTGATTATAACACATGAAGAAGCAGAAAAAAATTCAACTAACAGATACCCAATAATGATTATCATTATCATCGTTGATTTTATGTGGTACTTTTAGTGAAAATAAAGAGAAATTAATATATTTTGTTACATACATGTTATTATTAAACTGTTATAAGTTTGGGTTTTATTTTAAAAGCGATTATACTAACACACCGTTCTAGTCCGTAATTCAGTTTTATTCAGATTGTTTTGATTTCTGCTTTTGTATATAGATTACTGAAATGAGTGATAGAATAAAATACAGTCGAACCTGAAACAGCATTTCATGTATTCAAGTTAATATTATCCAAGAAAAAAGTAATAAAGCTGGCGAAAAGATCATAAGAACAGGAATAATAAAATGTATAATTTTTAGATGACTATATTGAGTGAATACATTTGTTTCTCTGTGATTCACTCTATATTATTTTATATCTGGTTTCCAAACAACAATTTCTATTATCTCTGAAGCCAATTTGAATCACTTTTTCATGTGTATAACTCAAAGTAGTAATCATTGTGTTTACCGTTGGTTACTATTGAATCTTGACGTGAACACCTTGCAACTTTGTTTAAAAACTACTGCTATGACAGCCAAAATTAAGGTTCTATTTAAGAACTTGTCAGGCATGAAAAACACTTCACTTAACCACCTCAGATAACCTAATTTGTTTGGTAAGAATGTTTACATGCAGTTGATCTGTTACTCTGTGACACAGTGACTTCCTCTGCTAAGGTTTAAAAAGTCGAATAGCATCATTAGCTGTGACACTAAAAGACTTGTTCACCGCTCAGCTTGCTAACGTGTCGAATGTTAGCCATTTGCAGACGTCCATTTTTGTTCAACCGATGCTTATCTTAAAGCAAGAGCAATGCTTTGGGAAAGAATAACCGTTGCTTATTCATTATGTACTTTATTTTTGTTATTAGGTTGATTCACAGACTGCTGTTTACCCGTTCTCGAGGCTTGTGACACACCATCATTTTAAAATTGTTTCCTGGATGTTTTGTTCCTAATTATAAAACTATCTGCAAAACGACTTAAAATGAATTGTGGTGTCAAGCTTTTAAGCTGGCAACTTAATGCTATTATCTACCAGAATGGGGGTGCTTCAGTGCTGAAAGCTGAGTTTACTCACCCACCAGAAACATCAGTGTAGTTATGAATATTACTTTTCTGTTCAAGAAAATTTGGCATTTGACAATATAAACATTCTTGTTATTGTTACTGTTGTATTAGAATAGCGGCTGCCGTACGTTTATACGGGTTTAGACAACCACTCAGTAACAACTGAGACTAACCACTAATTTCTTTTATTGATTTAGAATTTTATTTTTAAGACCATTCATCTAGTTTAATAATTAATCAGGATTCTTTTTTGCTAGTAAGTGACCTTTATTATGCAACAGTAACCTTGAATATCCGTTAGTAATAAGAGTCTAAGCTGGAAGTCTGTTGGTTGACTAGTAAATGTGTAACAATCAAACGTTAGAGTATGGAAAGGACATTTCTTTCCATTACTAATATTGGTTACTTTATTTTCAGTCCTTGTTGTAGAGTTCATTTGATCTCTGGCAGCTACAGCCGATAAACTACTATTTTGGCGGCTAATTCATGGCCATTTGTCGATTTAAAATAAATAACATAAATTGTGAGGCCAGTATTTATCCTGCATTCCAAACAAATACTTACCAATCTGCCTTACAGTTTTTGAATACTTTTATTATTGGAACGTAAGCAGTCAAACAGTTTTAAATGGAGTTGGTTTCATATGACATTAAAAAGTGTTAAGATTTTGTTTCAGTTGAGTTATTCGAATAAAATAATTCAATTCCATTCTAGCTGATTTATTACGTGTATCACACAGTAGTAGAACAGTAGTATTTACTGGATTACTTTTCCGACATAATTTATTATCCATAGTCTTACTATGACAAACATACAACTTCGGGAGATGGTTTACATAGTTCAAATTTTTTTGCATCCTTTGTGATATGGTCTGTAGGATTTTTCATATATATTCGGAACAGGTGCTGAGTCATTCTCGTTGAATGTATTAGGCGTTGTTTTGATAAACAAAGGTTCAGTTTACGAAAACATGAGAATAGGAGGGGTAGAGAAAAAACAAAGTCTAAGTCACATCAATTTGGTATGAAAATTAAAATCAATACCACCAAGATAGGTTCAACATGAGTACAAATTGTTTTCCCATAAATATAAATAGTCTGGATGTCAAAGCTAGAATCGGAAGAGCAAGACAGGTCTTCATTAATCTGAGATCAGTGTGGAGATCTACTGCACTCAGCATAAAGAACAAGATACAGATTTTCAGCACCAACATCAAGTCAGTGCTGCCATATGGTTCAGAAATTTGGCGCGTCACGAAAAGCATCTCTAACAAACTACAGACACATATCATCAACAGCTGTCGCCTACCCTCGATACGGAAGATCAGATGGCCAGAAAGAATAAACAACAAAAAACTCTGCGAGCAAACCAAACAGAATCCTATTAACCAACAAATATGCAGAAGAAAGTGGAGACGGATTGGGTTGTGCATACACTGAGAAAAACATTCGAAGGCATCAGGTCATCGAGTGGAATCTAAAGTGGAAACGACGAGTTGGGTGTTTGATGCGAGGCTGACATGGAGGATATGATGTGAGGAAGAAATGAGAGCTTGTGGGCAGTGGTGGAGCGAGGTTGAAAAGACAGCAGAGGAGAGAGTGCAATGGCGACGTGGTAGCGAATCTCTATTTTACACTAGGAACTCAGTGGAAAAATAATACCTATCTGAAAGTCAACGTTTATTTCTGAGAATGATTTATTCATCAACGATAAATATTCATCAGATAAATGATCAAAACAACAGCAATATTTTTCCGAATACAAATATTCCACGATAAACAAAAGCTTTCACTTTCAGACTGAGAGCTACTTTCATTTATATTTCTCCACATTTCATGATAACCCTGCTCCTCATCAAAACTTACAAGAGATGCCATAGATTCTGTCTATCAGTATGTCAATTAAGTCTTCTGTTTTAACACAGTCAGTGAGGTTGACATTCTCTATGATTTTTCAGCATAAGGTATGAAAGAAATATATACATTGATCACTGAAGATATTTTGATTACAGATTTGGGGCTTACAAATATTCAGTGTCCCTTTTATTTATGGATACAATAGAACATACTTACTTGTATTGTTCTGTTCATGTCATTAACCATTAGTGTGCTTTATTGTTAGTGCCAAAATTTCTTCTGCACTACTGGTATTGATTGTTCTGAAACGGGCACTGGAGTGGTGGATGCTTTTGTGATTTCCGAGAGATCCGACAAATGTGCACGCCATAACTGCTACTTAACTAGTATAATCTTATATGAAAAGCACATGGATCAACACAATTTAAGCGAAATTCATCCTACAAGTTTTGGCCATTCTGGTATGCATCTCCCTTTTGTATACACGATTTTGCATGCAAAATTGTACTTATCGAGAATAGAGGAGAAAATTAAGCATGAGAAAGGAAATAATCATACCAGAGAGTCCCATGTTACTACTGACAATTAATTATCACCATTTTCTATTTGCACCTTAGACCTGTTTGCAGGGACGTAATATGTAAGTAATAAGGACTGAAGATTATCAGTGAAATTAGTTGTTGCATAAGATAAATTCATGTCTCTTGGTTAGTTTTTAACTTGTCTAGAGAGGCTACATAATTCAGTTATTTTCAGTGAAATAAGTCCACAGTTGAAATCCTTTTCGATATTCAGAAACCTTACTTCATCCATTGGTGCGACATAATAATTCTAATGAAAGTTATCAGGGTTCTGAGAAGGCATACACTGAGAAGGTCGATTGCGGATACCACGCGCCAGGCACTCGAGTGGAATCCAAAGGGGAACGACGAGTTGGGCGTCTAAGCGAGGATGACATGGAGGAAATCATGTGAGGAAGAAATGAAAGCTTCTGGACAGTCGCGGAGCCAGGTTTAAAAGACTGCAGAGAACAGAGTGCAGTGAACGGGTGGTACTGAACCCCTATGTTCCACTAGCAACCAAAAGTAAACATAATAATAATAATAATAATAATGTCAAAATAATCCAATATGCCCTGCACCTCTGGGTGTTTTCTGACTACACATCTGACACCCATCGGTAGATACACTGCATGGTGGATTATTAGTCCCAAATACCAGTTCACTAACTCATATACTACCTTCAGGAAACAATACAAGTAAATAAAAGTACCAGCTGATTGGCAGTAGCCAGAAAATCAATGAAAACGTAGAATAAAAACCTTGGTGCTCCCTCCGAAAACAAGAAAAATTATTTCAATGACCATGAAACCTTACAGCCAAAGCAAAAATGGTACATTTAAACCGTTAAAGTAAACATCATAACTGTGAAATTGTGGAATGTTAGGTGTAAGAATGAGTCATTGGTAAGTGCAAAAGGTTTTCATTAGGATCGAAGTAAGAGGGTGTGGGTGTAAGTTTTTAATACACTTACAGTTTGACGTAAGTATGAGTTGATACAAATAGGTGTAACAAATTTATCATTACTTTCCGAAGGGTTTCGGCTTAAATATATTCCACTGTCAGTTTAAAGACCTACTGAAACTCGTCAACTAAAGAGTATTTTTGCTACAGGAGAGCAGAAAGATTGAGGATGAATAGTAGAGTAGAGTAGAGCATTACGATGAGACAGGGCTACATATGGATGAAGTAGTAACTTCATTAACTGAGTGCTCAAGAACCTTTTCGTTTATCGTCATAGTTATTCTCTAAAGTTCTCTGTGTCTAAAATCAGATTCGACAAGTGGTTAAACGTTGTGTCCGAAGCGTAAATATACCAGTAGGTCAGTGGATAGCATGTTTTCATTTTACAGCATTGCTGGTGAAGGCCGGCTGTGCCCAGACACAGCACTTCCAAATGTCGCCTGGTAGCAGTTACAATCCAGAGGATTGCGTAGATGGCACACAAAACCA